AGGGCTTAATAAGTAGCTCATGGACAGGAGGTCTGGCAGACACAGGTGTGATATTATAGTTTAAAAAAATTAATGTGATCTTTGGCTACATTGATAGAAATAAAGTGCACATGAAGGAAAAATATTTCACTGTCTTCTGTTCTAATAAGATCACATCGGTGGACTATAATGTTCAGATTAAGGCAACGTACATTGGGAAGGAGAATGGAAAGTTAGAAAGTGCACAGATACAGCAACTGGGATGATGAGGGTGTTTGAAATCTGTTGAATGCTTCAAGGTACATAACCTGGATCAAGGCATACGTAAATGTATTAATCACCCCTTTTTATTTATTGTATTTCTGATCCTTTGATATCTGGAACCTTGCTGACCCTGGAGAGACTGCCTCTCCCAGGGCTAGCTCATTCCCAGAGACAGAAAACACCTTCCAGAGAGCACACTCTTCAAATGCTAAACAAAACACTCGGAGCTCCTACCCCTAACCCCTTCTTTATCAGACTCTCATAGGCTGAGCAACTGAACCCTGCTCTAGTTGCCCTGGGGCCACGTACTAGACAACTGGAGACAGCCTCAGACCTCAGAGCTCACTGAGATTATTCACGGTAGACAATCCTAAGCCTGCTTTCCTGCAGAAACATAAAGCCTCTTGCCCACATTTTCCCCTTGTGTCCTCTGCTTTCTGAACAACCCTGGTGCCTCTGTATGTGGCCCTGCATGATGTGATGAGCCCCCTCCTCTTAGGTAGGGGTAGTGAACAACAGATAGTGAATACCAAACTATCTTTTTAATGACAGCTGTCTCCTGATCTGTTGAATTTACCATATCTGAAGAATAAGGAAATCTACATTTTAAGACAGTAATGATAGAACCTTAAGAGCTAGAAGAAATATTTACTTATATTTTCATTTAACAAGCATGTATTGAACACCTACTATTAGGTAGCTATCACGTACCATTCCGTATACGAACTTGTGTACATTAGAAGAGAATTCTACTTAAATGTACAGGACTGCACTCGCTGGTCCATGTCTTTCTTTATAAATACAGCGATTCCAGTCCTTTCTAAATCACAAGACTGACTGATTATATTTAGGAACAATACTTAAAGTATTCACCAAGCAGCATGCCATGCCACCGACCAGTCAGACTGCTGCAGCTGCAGAGCTGGAGCTAGGTGTTGGAAATGCTTTCTGGGCCAGGCTCACTTAGTTTCTGAGGAGTCAGGGGATCTAGGACATCGTGGTGGGGGACCTGATGTGGCCATGGGCTTAAGGGTACAGTATTGTCACATTTCAGTATTGCGATATCTGCCATGGCCATACCAGCACTGGTAACATCTGCCAGCTCAGAGTTGACCCTGCATCCTGACCAGAACTTTCTACTTCTCCCAGGACCGCTAGAATTATACTTTGTGCTCAGTATCAACAAAATGAAAATCTAATATGCCTTTTTATAAAGTGCTTCACTGAAATAAAAGTGATAGTATTCATTCATTCTCTAGCTGGCAAGCAAACTAATTAAAAGATTATCATGTATTCCTTAAGCCAGCAAGTCTTTCAATATATTTTAAATTACATTTTGATACTATAATCTTTATTTTTATATTGGAAAAGTTAACATGCTCACTAATCTAAAAAGTTTCACAATTGACAATAGACACTCCAGCTAATGTAAGTTAGCAGGTTCTGCTGAACTTGGAAAAGGGGTGAAAAAGACACTACTTGAAAGAATGATGATAATGCAGTAGCAAGTACAATCCTCGGCAAGGTTTTCTATTATCAGGAACATTGTTCTACTACTGCTAACTTTAATAGTATTGTCCATAACAGTGTTAAGTATCATCTGATATTGGCAAAGAATCCTATGATAAAAAACTCTACTAATTATTTTATTAAAAATTCAACTATCACCATTTGCTAAAATTTAGGTCCAGTTCTTCCATTAAGAGTATATGCTATTGAGGACTTTTTTGTGATTTAAATAGAATGTTATTTTACTTTTCTAATGATACTTTGTCCTATTTAAAAACTGCATAATAGATATTTCAAACTGCTGTAGACCAATTATTAATGTTACAATTAATCCTTTCAAAAACAATCCCCTGTTGAAACTCCAATTTAATATCTGGGGTAATTCATACCCTATATTTGGTAACTAAAAATTTTTTTCCAATCAACCTCTAAAGCTGCATTTCCTGATGGCCATATGCATGAAAGCAACTTGGCTTAAAAGACCTGCTTGACATTTCATAATAAACTATTAGAACTTTCGAGGCCAAATTAAAATGGACATCAAATTTGTGAGTCAGAAGTGTACACATTGTGCAAAACTCAATGAAAGACATTTGCTAAAATTCAATGGAAGTGGTAGGTATTTGGCTGTAGATGGTGATGTGTAAAAGCTCAAACAAAATAGTTTTAGATCATAGTCTCAAATTCTCTTAGTTGGAAGGGTACTGGTACTTGAAATGTCCTCTAACCCAGTTTCCCATTTGAGTATTACACCCATGGCCTCTGTTCTTGTTTGAACACCTATGTGCTCCCAAGGTAGCCCACTGCAGTGCTGCATGTTCTTTCAGGTCCTTCAGTGGGAAACACTCAAGAGCCTCCAAGCTGGTGGAAACAGGCAGGATGTAACCCAATTTAGAAATGCAATATTAGCATGGATTAAGCATTTGCTTGTTCCATATAGTGGACAAACAATAGAGGCAGAATTCCCTCCAGAATAGCTTCTATAGTTACAACGGCTTCTGGATCTACCCATGATAAACAATAGTCATGTGGAAAGTTCCTCAGATACTTGGTGTTTGTCTCTCTTCCCCAGGATTTTAGAAACTCTGCCTATATTAGGAAACTTTAGAGTACCAGAGGGAAAACTTGCCCTGTGAATTCAACCTCCAGTTCTCCATTCCCTGTGTATTACCAGGCAGAAGAGAAATCTACATTTACACTCGTGAACTGGGCTGAGAGGCTAATGAGGAAGCCTGAGGCACAATGTATGCAGCTGTAGAAGACCTAATACTGCAATGTATGCAGTACTAAGATTTCTGGTCTTACTTTTACCAGGAGTGAGCTTTACAATCATCAGCAAGTCACTGCATTTCTCTTATTCTCAGTTTCCTCATCTGTAATGGGAGAATAAATGTACTTACCATTCAGGGTTGTGAGAATGAAAGGAAATAATAGAGGCTATGTTAAAAAAAAATAAAAACCCTTGATTTTTCTCATTACATCTTTAAATTTAGCAGCAACATAGTTTTGTAACCCTAATGCCTTAATTGGAAGTAAAAGACTTAATGTATACATAGAAACTGTGTAAAATTCACATTAAGCAAATACCATCCCAATACAAAATGTGCTTTTAAACTTAAAGATTTTGTCCCTCTTAATGGCACTCCCACCACCTCAGGAGCCCAGGCAAAAATTGAAGATGGTAGTTTTATGATACCAAATATAATGATAATAAAAACAACAGCTGCCATCTATTGAGGGTTACATGCTAATCACTGTTACCAAATGATTCGCGTAGGTATTCTCTTTCAATTGTCATGGCTGGGGAGGAACTGGTCTTGGACTCAGTCTTTTTCCTTTTCTGTCCTCTCCTGACCTCCCTTCCCCCAAAAATCAACTAGTCCTGTATTTGATTAAATATCAAAGAATAAACTTGATCTTATTTCTGAAGATCCTGCCTGATTGTTTTCTACTGCTTCAAGGGCCATAATTTGGGTTGTCAACACATAGTTAGGAATGACATTCCTGAGGAATCGCCTTTTCTTGGCACTTAAGTTAGGAGATTACAAATGACCAGATTTTGATTTTGAATTATTCTTTCATTCATGATGTTTTTAGTTGAGAATTCTAAAAAATGTGTGTAACTGTGCATACGTGTTCTTATTATATGCACTTTCAAGTATTTACAATTTTTAAAAATATGAACATAAGATGGGCATCCAATGATTCATTTACTAAAGTAATAATAGAACATAACAGTGAATGTCATGCCTTTATTTGAACCTGCCTTGAAACACTATTTTTTGAAGGCTGCCAAAACAACTACAGCAATAACAACAAAAACCTCTCTCCTCACTTCTCAGTATTTTATGTTTTACTGGTGCTTTTTATTTCTTTTTACTGTACGTACTTTATTTTTTTCTCACAGTTTTTTTTTCTGCACAGATTGGGAAGAAACTACAAAGTAATTTTTCCCCCTACATCATCTCTTGCTGATTAACATTGCTAATATCAGCAGTCTTAGACTTCTGAAGATGACAGAATTAATGTTTGCTGCATTGAAATAGGACTTTTAGAACTATTCATTACAAATTGTAGCAGTGTTTACCCAGTTTTATATGCTGTTTACTATTCTTGTTAATATTTTTTTGGGAAAAGAGAGAACTTTCTACCTTGCAGAAGTTTGTAAATACTATCAGAACATCTTCACAATATCAGTGTGGAGAAGCACCATCCTTGCTTTTTTAACAAAATAACAGTGCATGGCAAAGGTGTACTTGAAGCAGTCTGTTTATTTTGAGGAGTAGATTGAAGTTAAAATCCTACTTCCATGAGAACATATCCCTGGCCCTTCCCAATGACATCTATTTCTTTGAACTGTGGGTTTTGTGTTTATATGGTTTGGCACTAGGTCTCGGAATATTTCATTTTGTTGGAGAATTTCTTAAGGTGCTTACTTCTGCCTCCCAGTGCAGCAGGAAGCTCCCCCTAGACAGGAGCCATGTCTTCGGAGCTCCGATCATAATACCATAACGAATCTATGTCTTGTGAAGTCCCTCTTAAGTTGGACCCCTTAAAGCATTAAGCATGGTGACAAGCACCCCATATAAACTCGAGAGCTACAGACAGAAAGGCTGAGATACCAAGGTCTTAATGATCATGTAGAAAAGCTGCTTAAAAAATGCCAAAAAGGCCCAAATCCTCAAAGAGCTTTTTAATATAAAAACCTTGTCATTTTCCTAATTGGTGTACACTAGTGAGTTACTTACTAAGGCGAATTTTTTGTTGAGAATCATCTGCTCCACCAAAGATGACTCATTGTGGAAGAGGTGGGGCTGCATGTGGCTCCACATGTGAGGAAACCACCAGAACTCATCCACGGACCCCAGCAGACAGTCATCCCCTTCATCTTCCTCCTCAGTCCCTTTAGGGAAGAAAAAGGTTGTTCAGTTAATTCCTGTTACACTGATCTGTCAATTCCCTATCTATCTACTCTGATACATGTGTTTAGAAGACATCATTCACACTGTCTTACATACATATGAGGGAAAGATACAAGTTCCCCACCACTGACTTTTAATAGTTCACAGAACTTGTGCAGGTTTCTTTTGAATTTGAAGATACAGATCAAAACAAAAACACTGAAAGCAATACAAAGTACACAGGGTATTCGTAAGTAGCTCATTTTGCACAGACGTTGTAAGTCTTAAGAGCAGTTTGAACAGTTTCAAGCTGCCTCAGTTGCCTTAGTCCCTTTTAGTTCACTGTAACACTAACGTCCCCATCTAATGGGATGTGCCGTGCATGCTTAGCTCGTGTTGCATGGAAATACACAGCCACGCAGAGAGAGAGCTCTGCATCACTTGCCAAAAAGAAATTTAAGGCTCCACAAACAGGCAGGCAGCGTGGATCTCACTCTCTCGGAGTGAGAACACCTGCCGCCGACCAGAGGTGAGTTTCCTATCTTGACGGGGAATGAGAGCCCTGTGTAAGCCACTTCTAATACTCATCTCACTTGCCAAGCTGGATTGGTCTGAGTCAATTTTTGGTCTCTCAGCACCATCTCAGTTTAGGGGGCAGTTTTTCTATACTGTTCTGGGATATTCCTGAAATAACGTATAAAGCTTTGAACATAAAATACAGCAAAGGAAAATCTATCTGTTAGTTAGGGAACAACCTGATATTGTGACAAAATTCTTTAAAAGTTGTTAAACATGAGACATGGATATGAAATCACTACAAGATGGAAATGCATAACCATTCCCAAGGACATTGCAGCTCTTAACTGGTGGCACCTTCATGCAATTTGTAGTTTAGAGAGAACGGGGGAGAGGTAGGAAATGTAATTGAGGAAATATGAGTAAGGAAATGGGTATCAGAGCCTCAGCAGTAGATCATTTTGACATCTGCTGTGTATAGAGTCACAACAAAATAATTATTTTATTTGAGTTCCTCCTTAGGTCTGAGAAGAAGCTACTCAGTGTTTGGCAAAAAACTAAGGCATAAGAAGGAGAAAAGATGAAAGTCATGGCAAGAATCTGAGAAAAGGTAAAGTCATAGCAGACCCTCCACACTGCTCCTTAGCGGTGCTCATGTTCCACATGCTTGTCCTTTCTCTTGAGCTGTTGGAACAGACTTTCTATCGTAAAACTCCTATTTGCTTGAGAGTCAGCCCTGCTCTCACTGCTCTCATTTTCCACATCTGGGCTCATTTTATTTCCTCAATTTTCCAAGACCTGTAGTTCAGCTGAGTGTGGGGAATTTCATGGTTCTCGTGACTCATGGGAGGGGCTGAGAGTCTCTTGCTGTCCTGCCCATGAATAGCTTCTTGACTAACGCACAAAGCGAAAGCGGCATAAGGTGCTCCCTACTGTCCCGGCTTATCATGATGCCAATCATCCCAAATCATGCAGCCACACTTGACCTTCAGTCAGAGCACTGAATCTGGTCAGCTGCTAGAGCAGTAGGTTCTTCCCATGCTGTCCCTTTGCGTGGAGAAAATCTCCAGGTATTTTCGACGGCAGCTCTGATCATGTGACTGGGTTTATTAGGGCCCTGCAGGCTAAAGACGGAGGATGGACTGCTGCCCTGGACCAGCCCACAGAGCCTGCTTCCTGGTACCGCTGCTCTTTCATTCATTACCCAGGAGAAGGGAGGCAGGGCCTGTTGGCAGGAAAAGTATCGGGTCCTGTGGTTTATTGGGCACTGAAAACGATTTAGCCGAGATAAAGGTGCAGTATGAGGGTTCATGGTCATTCTGATTTATACAGGAGGAACAGAGATTGAGTGATGCAGAATGAGTGGAATAACATAATCTTTCAACAAGGACAACGTACAGTTTCACTGTCACATGCTTACAGACTCTACTGATATGAAGGAGCATTTGCACCCTACATATAAAGATTATATCTTTGATTTGTTTTCTTTATTTTTTTCCTCTTCATCATAGACTCACATTACCACAGTATCATGGAAGAAGTATAGGAGTATAGGATATCGGAGTCCCAAGTTTTTCTAGTTTATTTGTAGGTTCCAACACATTTGAGTTGTGTGATTATACCCGAGTCACGTAACCCATTTAAGGTCAGTATTCACACAGGTAAAGGGAGGTAAAGAGAGAGACGGCAATACTTACTTTGTTGTTTGGGAGGAAGTGTCTAGTTCTGACACATAGTGGGTAACCTATAACGTCTCTTTCTTTTCCTCCTGTATTTCCAACTACCATTCGTCTTGTGTTCCCTTGCTTGTCTCCTTGAGTTTCTTTTGTTTTCCCTCCACTATAACACTACACAAAGGCAGGGGGCAGTTCTACCTGAGTATTACACGGCAGAGGGGACACTGTGTTCCGGAACTGACCAAGCCATTCCATTAGCACATTAGCCTGACTCATGAGTCCTCGAGGAAGCATTCTCAGGGCTTCTGAGTGGTTACCTTGCAGCTAAGGGAAGCCTTTTAAAGAGAAATGCAAAGGAGCAGGAAGTTTGGAGACTTCAGGAGTTCAGAAAGTCCAATGATCCCAACCATGGCAGGATCTTGGGTCCTGCTACATTTTGTGACTGGCAATGCTTTGACATAAGGATGATGTCATTGGTTTACACACAATTAAACGTCTCTGCTTACTTATATCCAAGATACTTTCCTGTTCTCTGACATTTTGCATGTTTCTAGGACACACATTATTGTCAGTTATTTGTTGCAGTTTTACCTTTTTGCGCTGCTCACAGGCAGAAACCTCTCAGGTTTCCCGGAAGTCAATCGTTCCCGACTCCCACCCCCTGCAATGTGAGTGCTGAGATTCCCCAGCGGATGATACGTCTCCGCTCCTGTTGCTTCTAAGCTCTATTCTCTGTCACCTCTAACTCCTATTTTTCCCTGCGTCTTTCCTGTCATCTTTCATTTATTCACTTTTTTACTGGGCCTTTTCTCAAAGTTGATTTATCAGAACAGAGCACCAGATCTCAGGGTTCTTTTGGAAAGACAGCTCAAGCATTTGTTGTTCCCTCTCACAGATCATGGTGAAATCTGTTATTAAAATATTCATAGATGTGAATCATGCAAGAGTGATGTCTGCTTTCTGAAAGATTTATATCAATCCATAGTAGGCATAATTGTATGTTTTTTCTTTTCTCTTTATAGCCCTGCTTTATCTGATTTCCTTTAATCCTACTTTGGGGATGTTTTATGTCAGAATTAATTATATTGAGAACAAGTGTCTCTTGCTTATTACTTTAAACATTATGAGAAAAAGAAGTTGATGTAGGTGGTCATGGTTAGATTGCCCTGGCCTCTTGACACCCTTTTATTTCCCCAGTTTTGCCCACCTTTATCAGAACTAGAGGAAGAGAAAAGAACAAGAAGTCAAATTCCTCAATCTTAAGTGCCATTTGTTAAGTTGTCATAAAACTATGCTGAAACTCTGTAATGTTATTGCAAATTATAATTTATTTTATTATATATTTATTGAAATAAGTTGTCTCTGCAGAATTTTATCTGTAATATTTCCTACTCAGATATTTTATTAAAAACCATCATTGATTGAGACTTTACCTTGTGTGAAGCACTGTGTTACGTAATTTACAAACATCATCTCATTTAATTCTCACAGCAACCCCGTAAGATAAGGGCCACTGCTAACCTCATTTTACAGATAAGGAAATTGATATGTGGAGAGGTGAGGTAACTTGTCCCATGTCACTGAGAGGTTTGAGACAGAACTTGAAATCTAACTCAGATTGAACAACTCCAAATTCAAGGCCCTTGACTACCATTCACTGACCAAATGTGGAGTCTAGAAATAAGATCAGAATTTACTAATTCAACAAAAGATTGCTTTTCACATTGTTAATTAATTCTTTGATGTAATTATAATTTGCAGATATTATTGTTTCTCAGTGATTTGGGGAAATATATGAAAGTAACAAATCTATAGATAAGGAGAATCTTTTGCCATTTAGCTCCCCTAATCAAGGCTTGCCAATTAAGCAATAAAACTCCAATTTTTCTAATGCAATGCATAAAAATTTGGCTCTGATTTAGGAGTAAGACTTTTTTTTCCCTTCAGAATATTACAAGGGTACACATGTTTTGGTTACAAGTATTGCTTTTGTATAGTTTGAGTCAATGTTCTAAGTGGCCCATGGCCCAGATAAGTATGTATACATTGTACCTGTTAGGTGTGATTTCACCCATCACCCACTCTCCCCACCTACCTGCTTGATTTCCTTTGAGTTTTACTTCTGTATGTGCTCATGAGTGCTAATCAGTTCGTACCAATTTAATAATGAGTACATGTGTTTGTTTTTCCATTCTTGTGATATTTCACTTAGGAGAATGGTCTTCAGTTTCATTTGAGTTGTTAAAAAAGGTATTACAAGACTGTTTTTTGACACATAACTAGCTATATGATCTTGGGCCCCTCTAAGTTTCCATGTTCTTATCTAGAATACAAGGTAACATATTTTTTAATTCCTAGGATTCAGTGAAAAGGTACACAAAAAGTGCTTTGCAAAGCACTAAAAGAGAACTATGATTTTTATTTTTTTCATCTCTTTATTTCTCACAAAAATGCCCATACCTTTCAAAAATTATTTAAAATAAATTAAATAAGATCAACCTCTCTCCTGAAATACAGTCTTACTATTATGACAGTGTTGTTTTTCTCCTTCCCTTCAAGACTGAGTAAAATGGATAGCATTTGTAATAGAAAAATAAATTACTTATTTAGAAAGAAAACCAATTCAATTAAACTTTATGATATCTAATTTTTGAAAGATTGTGTATTAACTTTTATATCTGTTCCCACTGAAAAATGATTTTACCGGTCTTAGGCAATCCTGGCTACTGTTTTGTGGAAGCTTTCATGTTATACACAGATTAACAAGACCCCTTTAAACCTTGGCCTTAGCTTCTTCCTGTGTTGTACTTTCCCTGGATTAGAAAGAGGGTACTCCTAGTATGTGCTGTGGAAGTGTCCAAGTAAAGAAAGAGAACAAATCTTTCAGAGATGAGAAGGAAGGATGTGGATTGGCTACAGTCATTCTTCAGCATTCAATGTTGGACAAAAAATAATAATAATTGAGTTGCCAGGAGCATTTTCTTGTATTCATTGGGTGATTCTATATTATCCTGGTTTTGCTATGGCTTTTCCTATAATCTCCCTCTTTCCCCTAAACACACTACATATGCTATGTGTCCTTGATCTTGCTCTGGTCATTCTTATCTGTATGGTAATTTCCTTTTCTTCAAAGGATGTCAAAGAATCTAAGATCATCACTGTGAAACTAGGGTATGTTTAGAAAAGATTATGGACAGTCTTTTGTTTCTTTAAGCTCTTGGGGCTCCCCATTGTGAAATTTAGTGGTGCTGGGTGTCTAACTTTGCTAAAAACACAAACTGAACATCTGTATATAAAGATCTCACTTCATATATCTAGGCCAAGATGGCAGAACTTTCCTATAAGCAAGGGATTTAGAATAGATGTCTAATTGTGTTTTCATTTTTGATGTTACAATAAGGACAGTAACTCATTCAATCATAAAACAAAGTTAAACCATGATTATGAGGTTCCCATTTGTTAATATTTAAAACAATCACAGATAAAGTATATTTTATATATTGATCTAAGAAATTTAGGGGAATAAGGCCTTCAGAGTTTCCTATGCTAAGGTTACTCTTAAAACCTACAAAATTTTCAAATTGAGAACCCAAAGTCATATATAGTTGTGTGATTGTACACGTTGTATATATTTCACAACTGTATGATATGGAACATACTAGAATTGATCTCATGACTCTGTAACTTCCATGGAAACAAATGGAAATTCACTTACTCCAGAAATGCAATATTACTTTTATCTGAAAATATAATTACTACTTATGTTATTTATGTGCTTATAGAAATTACATTGATGTTAGTAGCATATAGATAAAATTCCCACCAGTATAGGTTTACTAAGCCCTTAAAAAAACTTATTAAATTCATATAAAATAACTCATGTCCATATTATCAAATTAAAAAAGTTGAAAAGCATATGCACTTGTAGAAAACTATTTGATAAATTTGTTCAAGTGTTATATCACTTTAAAAATTACTTAGATATTTACAGTGTACCCTGAAAATAAAACCTACCCATAAAATAAGCCCTACCAGGATTTCTAAGCATTTGTGCAATTTATAAAACCTACCCTAAAAATAAGACCTAGTGATGGGTGTGGCTACGCAGTATATCTGCATAACCTATGCATTTCGTCTTGAGCAGTAAAGAAGACGAGTAGCCCTTCTCATCTGCCCCATGAGAGCTCTATTGCTTGATATGAGAGATTGGGGCCAATGGTTCTAAAGGAAATAGAGTCGCAAGAAATTCAGGATGGAATTCCGGGTTTGGAGAGTTATGATGATGTTCCAGAAGAAGACGACTTAACTATAGTTGAATAAATGTAGATTGTTGTACCGTACTTAAAAAAAATAACACATCCTCTGAAAATAAGCCCTATGGTGTCTTCTTGAGGAAAAATAAATATAAGACCCTGTCTTATTTTTGGGGAAACATGGTATTTATTTAACTAGATCAGACATGGTACAAAATGAAAAAAGTTCAAAAGCAATGTAGTAAAAAGTAACTCTTCTTTTCATTTCTGTTATTTAATTCTCTTCAAAGATACTCATTCATACCAGCTTATTACGAATCCTTTGAGAGCTATCCTATCTGTATTAATAGCTATGTGACTGTGGCAAATTACTTAAATACTCTATAACTCAGTTTTCTAAGCTATAAAATAAGTTAAGAAGACTACTATGTTCAGAGTTCTATAGATTTCACCCTTTATTTTTATAGAAATGGTAGCATGTTCTAATTGCTGTACTGTACCCTGATTTTTCAAAGTATTTCTCAAGAGTTCTGTCCTTATCACTAACATTCAAAATTGTTTTGGTGCTTTTAATGATGGCAGAGTATTCCATTATATGAATATACCATTTTATGTAATCTTTTTTTTTAAACTTCTAAAAATACAATTGATTCATTCCATCATGAAATTGTGTTCAGTTATCCTCAGGCAAGTCAAAATACATTTGATCATGTTAATTATTTGTGGGAAAGAAACTTTTTAATTATTCTCAATATTTACAGTGATTTCTTTTCATAACACAACATTTTCAAATTTTATTCTCTCTGACCTTGTTCCATGTAAGTACTGATAGTTAAAATAAAGATGGTTTTACTTTCACTAAATCACTTGTTCATGAACTCATTTTTAAATAAACACTGTTCTAGCTGTTGATGTTACAGTTGTAAAATCTTCATGAAGTGCTCATTTTAGTGAGGGAAGAGAGACGGCAGATAAATAATTTAACAACAAAGTGCCTTCAACACTGACTCATGATAAAACTTAGTAATCTAGGAATAGGAAGAAGCTTCCTTAAGCTAAGGTAGAGTAGATAGAAAATAGTCTATTGAAAAAACTCCCCTTGAGAACAGGAACAAATCTATTGAAAGATTTCCCCTGGAAGTCAGGAGCAAGACATGAATGCCACCATAACTACCTTTGTTCAATACTGTCCTGGAGATCTGAGCCAGTGTAATCAGCAAAAAGAAAGAAACACAATTTATAAGGCTTGGAAAGGAAGGAATAAAATTGCCACTATTCAAAATTATAGGATTGTATAGAGAAAAAATCTAAAAGATTTAAACTACAGAATTAATAACTGTAATAAAGTTGCTAGATATAAGATCAATGCACAAAATCAATTTTATTTTTATATACCATCAACAAAGGAATAGAAAATGAAATAAAAAACAAGACACCACTTATTACTATATTAAAAAAAAATCCTACAGGAAGTAAGACTCAGAGGAAATCAAGCAGGAGGGAGGGGGGAGGAGGGGATGTGTAAAAACCTACCTAACAGTACAATGAACCTACCTACAGTGAACCTACTTAACAGTACTATCTGGGTGATGGGCACACTTGTAACCCTGACTCAAGCATAAAGAAATCGACACATATAACCAAAAAGATTAGTACCCCTATAATATTTTGAAAAAAAATCACAAGGAATAAGTCTAAAAACTATAAAGTTTAGAACTATTCAAAATAAGCCAAAGACCAGAAACAACTCAACCATCTCAGTAGAATGGAATAGATAAAGAAATTTTGTATGGTCAAATAATGGGATATTATACAGCAATAAAATGAAAGAATTACAGCCTATAACAATAATATCTATGAAATCAAAATAACGTTAAACCAAACAAGCTGGAAACAGGTGAGTCCATATTGTGTGAGTCCTTTTACACACATCTCAAAGCCAGGCAAAACTAAGTCACGAGATTACAACTCAGGACAGTGGTTTTCTTTGAAGGAAGCTAGTGACTGTGAGGGGCCCAAGGAGGGGGAATCTAGCAGGACACTTGTTCTTTCTTTTTAGAAAAATTTTTTTGCACAGAGTCTCACTATGTTGCCTAGGCTGGTCTCAAACTCCTGGCCTCAAGTGATTCTCCCCCCTTGGCCTCTCAAAGTGCTGAGATTACAGGTATGAGCCTCTGTGCCTGGCCTCTTTCTTTATCTGCCTATTGGTTACAAAGCTCTGTAAACTTTGTAAAAATTTACTGAACATCACACTTACTATTGATATTTATGCACTTTTATATATTTAAATTATAGCTCTATAAAAATGTAAGTCTATTAGATAATTTCATAAACTTTCAAACCATCAACATTTTCCAAATGTTAGAAAACAGTATGATAAATGGAGTTGAGTGATATAAACAAAAAGTAGAGGCGGGACATAGGGAATGTAGGAAGGTGTGAGGGGTGTGTAATTTTATATAGAGTGGTCAGAGAGGCTTTATAAAAACAGTTAATCCCCTTTTCTTACCTGTGTGGTAAAATTTCCCTGAAAATCCCAGGTTGAACGTAAAATTTGTGATTTGTGCACGCAAAAGATTCTGAGTATCAAGCAGGGCCTGAAACATAGAATTTAAAAAATATATGAGGTAAAGAATGACATTTAAAAGTTTTAAAAAGATACTTTTCTTTTGTGTTGAGAGGATAAAATCACTCCTTTATACATGAGAAAATTAAAGGATGGAAAGTAGTTTCTTTATCACTTTAAAACTAGAGAGATACTTTTTTTTTCTTTCTTTATTTTTTTGCAACTCAAGTCTTTGGATGAGAGATACTTTTAAGATTACATAAAATACAAACATATATTTATCCTTTAGCTTGTAATAAATCAGCAAAAAGTGTCATCTAGAAAAAGGAAGTTAAACAAAAAGAGTTTATTTTGCATGTGTCAAAGGAACTAGTATCTAGTACATAAAATACATCCCTTTTTACCCATCAGGGCCATACATCACCAAGGGCCAAAAGGACATTGATTCGAAGTAAAGCTATGCAAGATCATATGCTGAAAGAAACATTGTTATTTCTCAGATACATCTTTGGTCTTCAAAATACAAATCTGAGATTCCCAGATGATGGTGATTGTTCCTGAAAAGGGGGTATCCTGGTAAAGTAGACCTCTAATTTTCCCTTTCATTAAAAAAACTGGAAAACAAAACACTTCTACTGATGAGAAAAGCTATTTTGAATCAGAGTTTTGTTATACCCTATAAAGTATTTACTATGCTGTATTTAATAGACTTCTCTTTCTTCTTTTTCTTTCTCATTCTTATTTCTATTTTCATTCTTATATTAATATTCCCCCCCCACACAATAGTAGTTGAATGTTCACCTCAACTAAGCAGAAAGTAGTGTTTGTTAGAATTGTAAATGATCTTAGTCAACAGTTATTTTACACATGAGGAAAATGAGGAGAAATGACTTGCCCATTTTCACAGATACAATTCGTGGTATGTTGTAGATTAAGGATATAGAGCCAAATTAGGTGCTCTTCTTTCTACCACATCATATCATCTTTCCCCTTTTCCACAGTACGTGTGGGCCCGCAACTAAATCTTATTTTCTTCATTGTAAAGGTCACACCTGGAAGCCCTGTCCCATCATGCTCATGGTCCCAATCTTTTTTGGGGTGAACAGATGTACAATTTTTATTCAGTGACTACTCTATGATTGTGTGCCTTATCTGAATGCAAGAGAATCTTCCTGTTTGAAAAGCAGAGGAAGAGAACTTCTGGATCTCAAATTTAAATTCATCTGATCAATGGTAAGTTTTTGAAACTTAGGTATCTAAGATTTAAGAGGCTTATTTTAGAGATATGCATGACATGCAAGTTCTACAGAGATTTGGACTTTGAATGTTTTACATTCCATATTGAGCTTCCCTGGACCATGCAGTTTCGCAACCAGACATCTTTCAGCAAGATTACTATTTTTGAGAAGAGCCTGAAATTATTGTGCGGCCTATTTTAAATGGTATTTTTGCTAAATATATTGAATTGTAAACTATGATGACTCAATATTGAGAATCTGGTGTGGTCTGATTTTTCGGAGATAATTAACTTAGGCATTCTAGCAGTAGATTTACTAATGTACCTTTGTGCAAATTTAGATATGGCTCTGATGTTGGTTTTGATTTTGGTATTTGATTTAATAAATTTCTTCTTATCACTAACTGTTATACTGAGCATTTTAATCTTGAATTTGGGCATTCATTTGATATATTTCATCACAAGATGGATCTCCTGCAATTGCTAGTGCTTCTCTTTTCATTTAACACTTTCATATGTGGCTTATAGTTTTAAAAGTGTTAACTGAATTGTCTTTTCTCAATGGATACCTTAAGTTCAGCTCTCTGAGGGGTTGTCATTGAATCAAAAAATGTGCCTCTGTAAATACTTCTCAAACATGAAGTTAATACTGTATATGAAAATTTGGCTAGTAACTGTTTTTGTAATAGTATGCTGAGTTCTCAAACTTAAAAAATTAATATCACTTTCAATGATTGATACATATGTTCTACTAAAGCAATTTTGAGACCCTTAATTATATATAATATCCCTCATTATATGATGAATGATGCCTAGCTTGATGACAAAATAGTGAAGATCATAACATAAAAGACTATATCTTTAAAGATAAAGACTGTATCTTTAAATATAGGAGCAAAATACAAAACAAAACAAAAAACCCCCCAAAACAGATGGTGCTGTCATCAAGGACAGGTTAGGTTCTAACAAGGTGGTGGGGGCACAGGCCAGGCAGGGAAAGGAAAACTCAGCCAGCTGTGCGTGAAGACAGGAGGAAGGGGAATTCCAGGTGGTCTGCTGAGACCCAGTGCAGGGGTGGGTGCTACCTGAGTGCAAGGCGGGAGCCTTTCTCTTCCTGTCCTTATGGAAGGAGCACCAGCTAAGGACTTGGGAGCTAGGGGTTCAAATTCCAACTCTGGGACTTACAGGCCTGGGAGTCAGATGGTCTCAACTGGAATTTTGGAGCTGCCCTTTTTTTGGCTTTGGGCATGTTATTAAATTTTCCCAGCCCTAGTCTCATTGTAAGGTAAGGGTAATACTAATTACCTCAAAGTGCTGTTGTGAGGATTAAAGAATTTATTTATGCTTCTGGCATAGTGACTCATGTGCTCAATAATTATTAATTGCTGCTCTTCCATTACTGTTGTGGCTACTATTACTCTTACTATTCTGGTGGTTGTTCTTGTTCAATGATGTAGGACAATCGTATTGCCTCTCTGAACTTTTCCCTTCATTTCTAAAGTGGAGACAATGATCTAACTCATAGAATTGGGATGAGGATTCTAAAAGAGATAATATATGCAGGAGTGCTTGGTAAACATTTTTTTTTAAGTGCCATAAAATATTAGACGTTGAAATTACAATTGTCAGCAGTGGGTACATGGGTGTGTGTGTGTGTGTGTAGCTCTATATTCACATCCCATTTATCTCCTAAAGCTTCTTTCCTCACATTTTACTCGCCTTTGATTCCTCTTCTCCCCTCCCTTCTCCCCTTTCTCATTTCTTCTTCCTGGTTGAAAATCCAAGCCCTCTCTTCCTGCCTTTCTTTCCTCTTAGATCATATCTTTCTTCTGTTTTTCATTTTACTCACTTAATTTCATTCTCTTATTTTTTCTTCTTTCAGTGGTTAAAATATGGATTCAAAATCTATTTTGAGATTATTTGTTGTGTGCTCAGTGCTTTAAATCTCACAATTGGGTGAGCGGAACATTCTTTCTTTCTGCTTTTATGTCCGAACTCAACTTGAGTTTGAACTTTGCTTTGTGACCCTTGATTGTATTTTGAATGTATATTTATAATAATTGATAGGAAAAAACCAAACCTGTCCTGTTCTTAGGTCTTACAAGCTAAATAAATTTCCTGTGAACTAACCTCTTAGTCAACTAATGGAATACATTGATTCAAATTACTGAATTAGTCCTGAATTTTCAGATTTGAGTTGGCATTTTACACATTTGATTTTCTAGAAATAAACACTAAAACATATAAAAGATATACTGAAACAGACAGCATCTACTAATTATGCCTATATATGGTGAAGAGGGAAATTTATTTCTAGATGATATTTTAAATGCCTTAAATAAGCAGTAATATTTGTCACCTTTTACATTGTTTTTATAAACCAGATTTTGGTGCTATGAGAATAATGTTATATATTCATCCATTATTCCCACCTTTATAAAATATGCTTATTGCTGGCCAATTCTGTGCAAGAAGCTTAAGCATCCAGCAATATTCTTAGATCATATTCTTTTCATGAAACTCTTCATGACTACAATGATTTTATTCAGCATTGTTCTATTTTAAACTGAAATAGTCTATTCATTACTATGAACAAAATGTTCTAAAAATGATATAAAATTATGCTTTGCTTTATTTTGTACATACAACATGTCTAAAATGGTGTGATAATTTATAAAAAGCTAATCATAATAAACTAAATCAATATTCCAGCATTGCATTCAGAAAACCAAACGTATTCTGGGCAAACAAGCCCTGATATGCAGAGTCCTTGGCCACAGAGGAGGTGAGCAATCAGGACTGCCCAAAGAAGCACCACCCAGCAGTCTCCTTGGACACCAGTCCGAGAGCCCTAAGAACACACCTGTCTACCTTCAAAAGTGGTTTGACTATTGGAAACTGGTACTTTTATTTTTAAGCATTCTAAGATATTATATTATATTTAGGAGGGTAATTTACAATTCCTTGTATTAGTGATTATTTTTAAAATAACACATTATCTTTATTCTAATTAAAACCTATTAAAATCCTTAATAAATTAATCTCTTAGGAAGAGTTAATATTATAATGGGCTTCCTTCCCATTTTCCTCAATACTAAATAAATCTATGCATATGTAGATATATAGATATATAGGTAAAGTAGAGCCATAAAATAAAAATTAGAGCTATACCAATTAGGATTAGAAATAGAGTTTTGAATTTTTCATTTAACAGTGTATCATGAGCTTTCTCATATCACATTAATCTTGCCAAACCAAATGAGTGCAGAATATTGCATCAAAAGGGTGTGTTGTAGTTTATTTAATCATTTCATCCTATTGTAGATTTAGGTGGTTGACTTTTTTTGGCTAATACAAATACCACTCTGTATGTCAATACATATTTCTATAGTCATTTGTCTCATAGCAATGTTTCAGTCACTGACAGGCTGCATATGAAATGGTGAATCTAGGTGTGTAGTAGGCTATGCCATCTAGGTTTAAGTATACACTCTATGATGTTTGTACAGTGACAAAACTGCCTAATGACATATTTCTTAGAACATATCCCCTTCCTAAAGTAATGCATGACTGTATAGTAATAAAGTAGCCATTTCTACAGCAGAATATATTTCTGCTTATCCTTCAGCAAATAAAACAACTTGGCAGCAAATTAAAAAATGATTATCAGACTATTATAAGGGAACATATATCCAATTAAAATTATAAGACAATTGTATTTTGAATACAATTTATCACAAAAAATTTCAAAATTATTTTTTCAAAGGTCAACCTGTGTGCTGCCCCACTAACTT